CTTGAGGGGCTGCCAGGTCCCCACGTGCCGGCTCCGCCGCTGCGGAGGTGGGCGACCTTGCTGAGGAAGGTCTCAAAGTGACCGGGGCCGGAGGTGGCGTGGACCCGCGTTCCCCCACGCCTGTTCCCTCTCGTGCTGCCGCCAGTCGCTGCTGTCCCGGGCTGCTTCCCCCTCCAGTGCTCCCGCACGTTCCTGCCCATCCTGGACGTGCCTCGGAATAGCTGGCAGAGGAATTCGGTCAAACAGCTGCCAGCTTCTCCCCCTGTCCCATCCCTTTCCATCGCTGCGGTATTTACTGGGAAACTGACGTAAAGGATTGATGCCTCTTGAGTTGTTGAAGGAAAATGGGTTGTCAGTAACCCCAGGAATTAGGGGGCTTTTTTAAAAAAAAAAGCAGGTCCTGTTTGTCTTTTAAGGTGTGTGCAACCCAAACTTATTTAAAACCCAAACCTCAAGGCAATTTAATTAAAATTTCTTAGAGAATAGCCCTAGTTCACAGATGCATTGTTTTGGAGCCATCTGAGAAACGAGTGGGAGGATCAGCATGTTTTATCTCCTAAGACTGTGGTAAATGCAATCCTCGGCTGAGAGGGGGAAGCAGCGCTGTCTCCCTCTGGGGTTTTCCGGGTCTTTCAGCAGTATTTGCCACAGTTCTCCTCTCCGCAGCCCTCTCCTGTGGCTTTCCCGTGTCTGAAGGAGACGTCTGACTGTGTCTGTTTGCGTTTCAGCGGTCCGGTGCCAGCTGTGCCCACCCCAGCGCGCACTCCAGGCCTCCGCCGCGCTGAGGAGGGTCTCGGACGAGCACAAGAAGGAGCCGGCGGCATCTTCCTCCCAGCACCAGTTTGATTCCCATCCGACAGATCAGCAGCCCGAACAGGAACCTCAGGGCCCTCGTCCCAGGTAACTTCCTCGCTATTTAGTGCTGTCCCGACAGCGCTAAAAGACGTTGGATTCCAGAGTTAATCCAGAGTGTCGGGCTTCAGCAACAGGGGATCTGACCTGCTCTGACGGTGTGAATTCCCCCGGCCGTCACAGAGTTGAGATGGGACTTGCTTTCAAGAAGGAGCCTCTTGTAGTCTGCATAGCACAAACCTTCACTTCTGGATGCTTTTTTTTTCTTTTCCTGTAAAATTACAGTTATGTTGTCCACATGCCCATAAACTTAAAGGCCTTGTTGGAAAAACTTAGGAATTTTTATTTTGTTTTAGAGGAGGATATTATTTGATCAGACTCCAGAGAACCTCCCCTATTTCTCTCTTTCCCCCCCTATAATAAATGTTGATTAAGAATCCCTGTTGTAGGGATTTTAGAGGAAGAGGCGGGATTTTGTACTGCATTAGCAGATCTCGAAGCGTGTCTGCCTGCAGCGGCGGCTGTGAATGAGCAGTAGAGGCCGGGTTGCTGATGCTTGATGCTGATGTTTGATACCTTCTCATAGTTACACTGGCCAGGGCGGCCAGGAGTCTGAGGACTATGAGAGCGAGGAGCAGCTGCAGCATCGAATCCTCACAGCAGCGCTGGAGTTTGTGCCTGAACATGGCTGGAGTGCAGAAGCCATTGCAGAGGGAGCCAAGGTATGTGGGGAGAGAAGCGAAGGACCAGCTGAAAACTGGATGGAGCTGATGTTCAGAGACAGCCAGGCCTGCATGCTTCCCCCACATACTCTTGGGCAACGCAGCCTTGATAACACTGTCAAAGTTAAACTAAGGCACAACACACAGTGGTGATCCTAACGAGAGGAGCGTATGTTCAGGAAAAGCTTTCTAACGCAGTGCTGTTCTGTTTAACATCACAAAATAATACAAAATAATAAGTGTTTCCTAGGTGGATCGTGCTTGGTAACCCAGGAACTTGTCTGTCCTTCTCTGTTCCTCGCTGCAGACCCTGGGCCTCTCTGCTGCCGCGGCTGGGATGTTCCACAACGATGGCAGTGAGCTGGTCCTGCACTTCGTGTCTCAGTGCAACACCGAGCTCTCCGAGCTGCTGGAGCAGGAACAAAAACTAGTGCAGCTGGGTGAAACAGAGTGAGTACTGTGTGTGGAAAGGCTTCCTTGGCACATGAGAATTCAGGACTGGATAAACAGGGGGCTTATTCAGTAGGCAGTTACTTAAGCAAAAACGTAACTTCTGCAAACTTGCCCCAAATCACCCACCTCTCCAACACAGAGTCAGAGCAGAGGTAGGAAAGACGCGTAACAGTTTGTATCTCTAGTGCTGAAGCAGGACAGAGGTTGATTATTTTTTTCAAGTTCAGAACTGAGTCTAACTTAGATGTTCTTCATATTTTTATTTTCTTCCTATTCCAGAAAGAAGACTACAGAACAATTCCTGAGAGATGCTCTGGAAGCCAGACTAAGGATGTTGATTCCATATATTGAGAAGTGGCCGCAGGTATAAAATGAATATAAGGATTGTCTTTCTTTTATGTATTTTAAACATCCCATGGCCTTCAACACTATCTCTCCGCCCGACTAATTGAAGGCTGTAAAATAATCCTCGGTAGGTGTTTCAGATCATTTATAGCTTTCAAGAGGAGAGCGCCCTTGGAAGGAGGCAATTAGAGGTGTCTTCAGAGCCGTGCTATTTCTTGCAGTTCCAGCAAGACAAACCTTTCCATGGCTCACTCCGCCCAGCTGGGATCCCCAGGGGACAACCTGCGTCTCCACTTAGTTGTCCTTGAAGCGTCTTTGCGTGTTGGGCTCCTTGCAGCGCTGTTGTGGCTGCCCTGGTATCACCTGAAACTCGAAAATGCAGAACTGCTGTTCTGTTGTGAGGAACTGCCCTGCCTGGCGGGCAAATGAGGAACTGCTGACAATCTGAGGAGAGTAGCTCTAGCCACTGACAGGGTTTTTGCTCCAAATTCACTGTTCATTCTCAAGCCATCCTTCCCAGGGTCAGAAAGGAATGGGGCCATAGTAAAATATATAGAGAGGCAGCTCAGGAGACCCAACATGCTGCCATCAGGGCCGGGCAGAGAGTTTCGGCGCCAGGCAGTGCCGAGGTGTGAGCTCAGCTGCACGTTCCTCACAGATCTCCCTTCTGGCAAACACCAGTGCTGTAGACAACTTGGTCACAAGAGGGAGAAGATACCAGAGCAAAGGAATGGGGGGTTGCTTGATGCTGGGTCCTTCTCTCTTTGACTCTTCCATTTATCTGGGTGTGTTTCAGGCTATCAGCATCCTGCTGCTCCCACATAACATCCCTTCCAGCCTCAACCTCCTCACTAGCATGATTGACGATATCTGGCACTACGCTGGAGACCAGTCCACGGATGTGAGTCTTTCTGCTAGGCTGGTTGGGGCTCTGCACTTCAGCAGAACGAAGGTTCAAAAGGCGCCTTGGGCTTGTCTGGAAACAATCCAGTTTTCTAAAGCACTCAAGGGACTTCAGAAGTTATATTCTAATTTCCAAAGAGACCTAGGAGCCAGCGGGACTCACTTTATAAGCAAATTAAAAGCCCCAATTTTCCTAGACTTATTTGTAAGCACTTTTTAAAAAAATTTTGAATTAGTGACTAAAAATTTGATCCACTATTCAATTAGCAAGAAATATATCTCTATTGAAGCAGCTGTCTCTTCCCCCAGCAATAGCATTTCCTGATTTTACTTGAAAATCTTTAAAGAATCTACCTAAAAATACCAGTAGCTTATTAAAGCTTTCATCTTTCTGGCAGGAAATAAAAAGAAAATTATAACCTTAATTAAAGCAATTAATAAATTATTTTAATTCATACAGATGTAGGGGGAGATGAGAAAAAATAAATGAAACTATTTTAACAAACTACTTAAATAAACTTCTTTTATGTGAGTATAAAAGAGAAGCTACTGCAGCGAAAAAAAAAATACAAGAGGATGGAAAAATTAAAGGAATAAGCCTGAAAAGAACTGAAACATGTGTTGCATCAGGAACTGCAAGTCCCTTACGGGTTATGAAAGTCACAGTGGCACATCAGAGTCGGTGCCTGTGCTGAGCTCTTCCTGAAGTCTCCTCACGGATCCAGGCAGCAGAAAAGGTTCCTAAGCTTTATTTTTAAGTATTTTTTTATTTGCACCTTCTGATCAATATGCAGGAGTTTTCTTGGTGAGCTGCAAACAGGAGAGCTTTTAGTCAGTCATTTTCAAAATCCAGACCAGTGTTTTCATTTCTCTGGTGCTTTTCAGTCACAGACAGCACAACCAGTATTTTTAAAAGCGCCTGAGTTGTTTAGCCATCGTAACAGCAGCAAATGAAGTTGAAGAGCCATTTTTATAAATATATGATATAATCTATCCTTTTTGCTTTTTGGTTGCTGTTCCCTGGTCTGCATCCTTACAGGCTCCAGGCCAATTCTCTCTCTCTCTCTCAACTCGTGCTTTTGCAGCTTAATTGGTACACGCGCCGGGCCGTGCTCACCGGCATCTACAACACCACAGAACTGGTGATGATTCAGGACACATCCCCTGACTTCGAAGACACTTGGCGCTTCCTGGAGAACCGGGTAGCCGACGCTGTGAACATGCACAATACGGCAAAGCAGGTAACGTTACTGGCAAGGTCGGGATGCCGTGTCCCTGTCTGCCATCGTATATGGCTTGTGTGATGGCAGAAGAAGGCTGAATGTCATGGTCACCTCCTGTCTCCTAGATAAAATCAACCGGAGAAGCCCTCGTCCAGGGACTGATGGGAGCTGCAGTCACTGTAAGTACTGCTGCAAGGGCTTTGAGGGCAGAATTGTTTCTGTGCCCTTCCACACTTAATGTCAGTGCGTTTCTCCTCCCAAATCTGGAGGACAGCAAGAAAGACTTCCCTATCATAACTATCTGTAAAGGCGACTTTCTGCATAGTTGGCAGTCAGTTAGCTATTCTGTGGCGTAAAAAGTGCAAAAACAGCTGCTGCTGCAGGACGAGCGATGAGGAGGAAAGACGGGAGAGCAGAATAAAGGTGTGATCCTGCTCTCCATCCCTTGTAGCTCAATCTCGTCCTGTGCCGTCGAGATCCTGACGGATTGTGTACAGCAGCAAAAGTATTTCCTTGTTGCTAGAAAATACGTTTACTTTGCACTTACGTAGACAAGAAAGATCGTGAACCATAGAAACATTCTTCCGAAGGGAAATGGGCAGCAGCCGGCTAGTTAGCGCAGAGGTATCCGAGTGTTAACTCCAGGAAGGAGCCAGTCTGGGTCTCCCAAGCTGCCGCCGCCGCCCAGGTGTGCTGAGCTCTCCAAGTTCATTTGAAACAGCTAAACAAGCTGCCCGGAGGTCGCGTTAAATTCACCGTACCTGGCAATATACAGGCGTGCAAATCAACATGAGTTGACACCTGCTAACCGAGAGAGTCCCTAGAAAGTTAGGGAGGGCTTTTACGGCTCTCTGGGATGTTCCCGAGGGGATCTAGAGCGACGTCTTTCCAACCTCTTCCCTTCACCCTCTCCGTCTGAGCGGAAATCGCTTTCGATCCTCACATGCCAACGCGGCTGCTCTTTATTTCATGCTCCAAAATGTAAGCTGCGTTCCACAGCGGCATCGAAAGCAACAGGGGCCCCAGCGGAGCTGGGGGGACCCAGGGCCAGTGCTGAGCCATGCGAGGGGCCTGGGGCACCAGCAGCACGGCCGGGCGGCCGCTTGAGCCCCTTCTCCGTGTTCCCCGCAGGTGAAGAACCTGAGCGGCCTGAACCAGCGCCGGTGACGAGGACGAGGAGGAAGGAGCCGCGGACTCGCTGCTGCCGCCGGAGCGGCCCCGGGCCCCGCCGGGGCGGCGCGGGCTCCCCGGCCCCCTTCGCGGTTCGGTTCTGCAATAAAGGCGCCGTGCGGAGCTGAGCGCTGCGGCGGGG